GAGTAGAAAGGGCAAAAATATATCCTTAAAATCCTCAGATCTCGGCGCAGTTTATGTACTCGTAGTATTAACTCAATTGCACTCATTTAACTAAATAAAGTACTTTATATAATATACAATCCTATCAAATTCTAACTACTGAAAAACTTTAAATCTAATATTAAATCCTTTAGAAGTTGGTTTTCATCGACTAAACGATCAATATATATATCAAATTAACCTCCTCAACTGTTTACTCAAAATATGAAATTTTCGGTAAACTGTAAATCTTTTCACATGTCTACACAGACACACTTCCAAAATTAACTTGACAGCATACCTTCTTTTGCGTAGTAAATTACATTAACGAAGTCAAATAATGTTTGCACCAACGATTTGTTAATGACTGAAGCCTTAACAGATCATCATTTCAAACCTTCAGTCTGTGTGCAAACCAGACATATTCACTCTCTGACATTACAGTCTTAGACTTCCATTTTAATTTTCTAAATCATCAGTTCCAGATATTCCGTTATTCTTAATCGGTTTTACGTTCGTCATATAGAGGATGATACTTTTCGTTTTCCCTAGAAATTATTATTTTTTACAACCTTTGAGACTATCATGTGACCTGTACGAAGTAACTGAAAACATATTTGATAATTTGTGAATACATTGTTAAATGAAACAACATCCCTCTGTTTTATTACCGATTACCATACATAAGAGTCATTATAAATACAGCTTGGTTAAATAGTGTGTTGGCCAGAAATGTTTCTTCTTTGGTACGTCTTTATTGTGTTGAAATCTGGTTTGTCGAATGAAATTTTGACATATAGCCTGTTTTACTTGAGAGTATAATTCGCATACTGTGACATATAAAAAGAATGTACCAGATATATAACTAATCAATCAACTAGTAAATTCTCGGTTTGTTTAATTTTGTTTGAAAGTATTCATTTGAACCGTTAAGTTGGTTATACTCTAAAAATCCTTTTCAGTATAAGGAGGATATGTTGAAATTATAAAATATTCATAATTTTAAACACCAAATGAAATGTATGCTTTTAAGTTTGAGATTATACGTTGGAGCATCAGACTAAATATCCAGAAATCGTCCATCGATTAGGTCGTAGATGAAAATTCTTAGAGAGTTTTTAATAGCTCTCGAATGCTGCCTTGTTCTATTTAACAATTTAAAGTCATTTCATGATTTAAACGTCGAAAATCTTAGTAATGTTGATCATTTAAACTCAATATTGGATTTTTATATTGACCTAAAATTTGGTTTAAAATAAAGGATAAATTTATTGAAAACTTGGTAAAGTTTATATGATATAAGTAATTTGTTTAAAAAATTCATTCAATTTTCATAAGTCACATCGCGAACTGTCTGCAAATGGATAGTTATCAAAAGATTTCGTTGATGTTTGATTTCTCATTAGCTAATACGCGGAAAGTTGTTATTTAGTGGCATTATTGGCGTTCTACATAAATCCGTTTAGTAACCATAACTTTTCTGATGCAATGAAGCTCTAATTGAAAACTCCATCACATTTATTTTACTTATATTTCTAAAGTGAGACTCCCTGTAAGATGATGTGTAAGTGACTTGTAAACTTGTATCTGGGGAGTCTCATCAGTGCTAATGGCCTGGTGACTGACGAAATATCAGCATGCCAAACTGTTCACCTATGGCGCAGGCGAGATATCCGCTTGCTAACCAAAAGACGAGTGTACCATGCAGTAGTTCGCTCCGTCCCACTATATGGCTGTGAAACATGGCCAGTAAGAGTAGAGGACTTTCGTAGGTTTCTAGTCTTCGATCATCGGTGTCTCCGAAGCATTGTTCGTATATCCTGGGACAACCGTATAAGCAATGCTGTCGTCAGGAAACAACTTCTAGGTATGGATGGCAAATCAATAGATGAAGTAGTGAAAATTCATCAGTTGAGGTTGTTGGGACATGTGTTACGTAAGCCTAACCGCCAAAACATGGCAGAAACCCATTAAGTCACTGACAAGTGGACTGAGTCATGTTGGTAGATGTAGGCTACCTGGTTGGGGTACGCGAGACGAAAGTCACCAATGGTTAGAGACCTTGAACGACGTGGCTCAGAATCGTTTGCAATGGCGCAGGTGCATCCACTCTTTGTGTACTTTTTAATTCTGACCTTCTGAATTCCTCATAATCTCTCCCTCTCCTTCTAACTTTATCTCACTGAATTATACTTCTTGAATAATATCTTCGATCCCTAATCTTCTCCATTACTACTAATACTTCTACTATCACTATCACTCTTGAATTTGAACTGACGGTTGCGTCTCTGTGCTAATGGGGTATGGCAACCTGAACCGATGTACTTGCGTACGAAGTTCTGTGTTGTATCCGTCTGTCTGTCTGACTTGTAAACTATCTTCTTATAAACAGATACGGATTTTCGGTATGAATGGGAAAAACTAGAAAAACGTTTGGTTATCCCAGTTTAGAATAATGTTTATCTGTAGTATCTGTAGTACTTACGTACGAAGTTCTACGTTGTAACTGACTGACTGACTGATTCTTTGCTGAATTAAAACCATTTAAGTTCTGTTTACTAGTCTATTTCTGATCGTTAACATTCATCAAGTTCTCTGTCTGTCCACTTTTGATAGATTTCTTCTCTATTGTAGCGCAAGACAAATTGTAACCATTTCGAATCCTAACTACAGTCATTCAGTCACAAGGTAGAAGGTGGGACGTATATACCTTCGTTTAAATTATTCTTACCACGGAAATAAAATTGTTAGGTGCCTCTATAGCTTATGATGTACGTCAAACTAGCCAAACAGAAGTTGTCAAAGACTTATTAAAATTCAGACTGAAATTAAAGTAATAACTTATTCATTGATTGGCGCGGTTTTTGAGAATATTAAAGTGCTCAGTAATATACAAATGTTTGTGTCAATAAAAATAACCATAACAATGATTATTATAAGCAAAAACATTGGAATACTAAAATACTTTTTCTGAAACAGAAGGATGGTAGTAACTTTTTCAGTCTTAGAAAGATTGTGGTTTGAATTCCAAAGCATCGTTCATCACTATTCCCAATAAAATGAGCTAATAATACTTCATAAACATATTTCATCTATAAATGTTTATACTTTATTTTAAACGGTGATTTAATTTAAATTTTGAAGTTGGGCAACTGTAATCTCTGTTTGTATACATAATTACTATATAATTCATTTGATATGGTTCACCAATACATTGTGATATCGAATTCCTCAAATAATTTATTTCTATATTGTACTGTCAAAAGTTGATTTAATATAAGAGTATTTATAAGAGCATTTAAACGAAATCTGAATCGACTATAACGCACTATCCTGATATTCAGTGTACCTGCATAAATTTTTGCCGTTAGTCGACGAATAATCGGTCTCGTGACTGACGAAGAATCTTGGTTTAGTACCTGAAGTGTCGCAATTCTTCTACATATAGACCTTTCCACTCCCAGGGTTGAGTTTAAATGACTTAAATGATTTTCTAGTTAGCACTTTTTAATATGGTTTATTTTCATGAAGTGGGATTGCTAACTTCATGGCTAAACCTCATCCTTTACCTGGGCTTGGGACCGACGGTAACCCTAGAAAGTTTGATGTGCCGAGTTAACTATAACCCAATCAATTAAATAAATGAAATAATTCAAATGAGCAAGTGTTGATAAATCTTTAATAAAGGACAACAAGGTGGAGTTATAAAGCATCGGCATGGTTATAATTATCTAAATGTATTCGGTGGGATATTAAAGATAAGAAACAATTAGTCTGTTAACCTCTTTTTCAACACCTCAGGAAGTCTTTTCTAAAAATGAACATTCATATAAGTATCTTTCAACTATGATTATTCTATATATTAAAAGAGATTGACCTCAAATATAACCTGTTATGGTGTAGGGTGCTTGAGATCGAACGTGGTACATGCTAACCCCCCTAAAGTGGCTACTTCAATGAGAAGAAATTAGTAAAAGAGAAAGTCTGTTTGATTAACGAACAGTATGCATAAAAACTCATATATGCATATCCCCATTAGAAAATTAATTCATTTCCTGACAAATGATATGCGTTTGTTCTTTAGGGCATTTCTGATTGTCGAGTGACCTTGTTCGGCCATTTTATATCGGCTTTCTGTATTGTAACCTCAAGTATTTATAGCGAGAAAATAAAATTATAAACCATAATTAATCTGTCAGTAGCTATTATCTTTTCGTATTTCAGCGTATTATGAACTAAGTGGATTCATTTTTCAGCTTAAAAATCAACACTGAAATATAATCATTAGCTAACTAAGCTGATGAGTTTGAAATAAGCTGTAAGGTGCTTACATTTCGCTAAAACTCTTCATTCAAAGAAAACATGTTTAACTTTCACCGCGAAGCCTTAGTGAAGCATTCATTAATAAAGACATTTTATCTCAACAAACATAGTGATTTAAATTCAATCATGAATATATGTATGTCAACAGTCAAGAAATCAAAGCGATAGCTTTATCCTCAGCACTGTACATTCATTATCCCATCAGGGGGTAAAGTACGAACCTTCCGATCTGATGGAGTGCGCTTAACCATTTGGACCATTGGATTAGGATCCAATAGAGTAATATATTAATCAATCCATCCTAAAGACATTTAGAAAAATACGAATAGAACGAAGAAGTATTTCTTTTTATTTAATGTTTCATCATGGCCCTACACTAATATTTATTTCTACTGAACAATAATAATGAAATTTACTAGTTCAGTGGTTATGCGTTAGATGACATTGCAAATTCTGATGTTTCTGAAAATAATTGAAATTGATTATCAAACAATCAACTAATGTGATGAACAAATACCTGAATGTATTAGTTTAATTTGAATAGAATCGACAAAAACATTTGATTAAAATTCTGGCATCAATAACAGTAACTCAGTCAACATTGAAATTTTTATTCACACAATTATTTAATTTGTTTATCTATCTATCTATATATTTAGGTATTTTTCGCAATTAATTTTCTTCTTTATGGTGTCGATGCATTTTTCTTATTTGCATTATATCGAGTAAATGGAGCGTATCTGCATGAACAAACAAATCCAAATCCAAATCCACAAATCACTTCGAAAACGCATCAAACACCAATATATGATAATACCGCATATAATCCGCAATGAGTTTATGAGACTCAACAAAACACATACATAACAGTAATTAGATGAAAGAATAAATAACTGTATGTTAAAACAATTAAAATATTAACAAATTTTAACATACTAAATCATTCAATAGATAATGTAAGTGTTATTTTAAAAGTGAATATTTTTCGAATTTTCTTGATACACTTATTTGACGTTTTTCGTCCCAATGAAAGCGTAGTGATCTACTTCAAAATGTTCTTGAAGTTCTATTAAGACATTGTGACTAGTTTGATCTTGGAAGTTAAACTGTCGTCATTAAAGAGACTATATGACCGTCATGCTACATCTCATATTAGCGGAAGTTGGAATCGGTTCATCAAACATCAAAACCAGAACATGAATGTTTTGTGTTCTATTCCCAGATGAGGTTCTGGGATCTCCTGCTAATGCAAATCGTTTGACATTGCTCCATGATTACCGATGGTACTCCGAATGAGATGTAATCTGTGACAAATACAACCTTTAACACTGTACTTTTAGTGTTTAAGGCTAATTAGCACAGTATACTTCCTCTCTGTTTTATTTAATGATTGAAAAAGCCATAACTTAAACATTGACCTATGAAGTGTGATCTTAACTAGTGAACTAACATTTCTGAGGACAGAAATCTTTATTGGATAGTGGTAAAAATGGTAATTTTTGACATTCCTTTGATTGTTATACATTATGATGATAGTTCGAATCCTACATCAGATTGCCTTGCTGGTTAAATTACCAGCTAGTACCAGACCTACATCAAAGGCTTTTTTTAGTAGTTTTCTTGTACTACCCAACATCCAGATATATCGTACGCTATGTTGAATTTTTTAGACTCGTAGCTACTTGTTAACTGACTGATATAGGTTTGATTGGCATTGGGAATTAGAGAAAAGATTCCTCGTTACTAATCTGTAATCAGGTAATGATTAACTGTTCCGATTTGTTAAGCATCATGGTACTGGTGTACTTTAACGTATGGTATTATTACTTACTAGCTATGAAAATAATTTATCTAGATAAAAAGTATGTGTAATTAGTATGGTCAGTTTGAGATCAAGCCATATAGTACGCTTTTTCTATAGACATAAGGATACTCTAATTTAGGTTGGTTTATTATCTTAAATATTTATTCTCACACGAATTCAACACACATTTGAGCAAATTAGTTTAGAAACTATCAAATGTAAATGGTGTTTGATGCTTAGCATCAATTTACAAGTAAAAACCAACTCCACGTCAACGAATGTGTTTAAGAAACTACTTAAAGTGAAGGGCACGGTCGTTTAAAACTGGTGTGGCGCGCCTCTGCATCAACCATCCACAAGCCTTCCCATGACCCTCAGGTTTCATAACGAGCACTTAGTCTTTAGATAATTATGATATCAAGTCCTGGACTCAATCATTAATGTGGTCATGGATACGAGCTGCTAGACATTCCCATACTATTACGAAACAACTGTTCAATGCTTCTGTAAATGCAAAAATTTTCTCCAATTTTAGTCAGTGTTACTACGAAAACTAATGACAGTGACTGACGTAGCTGAGAGTTTTAATCATTTCATTTATCTTGGAAGTCTTGTTAGCCTTGGTGGGTTTTTAACTGATGAGATCTCGGCACGTACTCAAAAAGCTTGATCGACCTTTTCCAATCTGCATCACTAGTGGTGTTGCAAGACACATTGATTATATAACTTAGCCCCTAAAGCATTTTGAAATGTTTTCGCTTAAAATTCTTAGTTCATAAGGAAACTTGTTTACAAGTAACCACTGTAATATTGGTTTTAACTTAGTCTACATGGAACTATGACCCTAGGTTTTGTGCTAATTATCATTATTCACTATGGAGCATCCATAATATAAGAGAATCGATGTTCCTTAATGAATCGGGATACTTATCATTCTGTTTCACAGTCTGAGATCTAACCATTCAGTTAAACGCTGAGTGGAACTTTACTGTCGAATCTTGTCAAAATGGGTGTATATGTGTAATTTGTTATTTAATGACCAATACATTTACTATTCTACAATAAGGAATAAATACGTATATTTGTTACGTATAAATAGTCATGTTTGTAAAGAAAATTTAATATTGAGTGATGATTAATTATATCGAGAACGGTTTTTGTGATTACTTACTTGACTACAGTACTGAGCATGAACGATGTATATATATATATATATATATAGTTACAGAATGTGAACTTTATGAACAAGTTTAAATTTAATTATATCACTCTGTAAGGTAAGTTTTACTGTAAGGTGGTTGTATTACATACTCACGATTATTAAAAAACAAGATAAACCATTTGTTAATTGCACAGATATCTACAATATTTTACAATGAATTGTATTTCTGTTCATATCATTGTTAATAAATGCCTGAATCATCTTTTTATTGAATATACTCAACTGTGTATTGTTCAGTATTAACTGTCATATATGCATCTTGTGAGCACTATTCTGATATAATCATTGTGTTGTGATAAATGGGTTATGGATATTAGTGCAATCCACGATAACCGTTTCATCTTATTTGGTGCCTGTGAACTAGATATACTTAGACAGGCGTTAATATTAATATTATTATCTCAAACCCCTCGGCCTTTTTGCTCTTTATGTCATCTGATTATTCACTAACCTACTGAATCCAGTTAGCTATTAACATGTTCGATGGATATAAAGTAAATAACACATTCAACATTGCAAGTGCAATTTACTGTGTTTGAGTCCTAATATGAAGATCAACATCGTAAACAAATGGCTGATGAAACCTAAATCGGATGAAACCAGCTCGATAGGTTCCCCTACTCGTATAAATCTTTATTTGTTTGGTTCACTCAGTTGACTGATTGGTACATGTTCAGTTGATTCAATTGTTTGTACTTCATAGGAATACAATCATGACATACATGTCTGAATACTTATCTTGGAGAAACTGTTATATATATACATATAAATATGTCTGTACACATCGATGCAATTAAAATCTAACAACATAAATAAAAAATATCGATTGTACTTGTTTCAGTTCTATGGCTAGTTACTTATTTTAAGTAGAATTTTGTAAATTCAATGTCCAATAGAATGATCCGAATCAGTGGTTGATTAACTAAATATATGTACCTTTTACTTTCTCTAAATCAATGAGCATGCATTCCTTAATGTTTGTGTCTAGGTACGTATGTGTGTCAGTGTGTGAGGGTAAGTGAATAGTTGAGTGATTTCTGTGACAAATCTCATTTAATGACTTCAAAGATGTTTTTACTGGAAACACAAAGTAGTGATCAATAGTTTCGTCAAAATTAAGTCTAAACTATTATTATTTATTATTACTATTTATTATTATTATTATTATTATTATTATTTACGATGATGAGATGCTGGTTTAGTCTCTTTGAGAAATCATGTAAATTCGGCTGTATGAATTATCTCAATTTGTTTCTTTCTATATCATCAATTCATTGTGTAAAGTGTAGAGATACAATAATATGATGATATTTTAGAATACTGCCAGCTAGTCAGTGATGACAATTCGTAAGAAATAAATCTTAAATTTATATTTGATGCTAATGAAAGGAGTTTTATGTTTAGACCATTAAAAAGGAAGCGGTTTCTCAGAAGATGAACAGCTTTTTGATTTGCGATTTGGAAATATGTAACAGTGATTATCATTTATGCCTGATCATTTACTTAAGTAACAATTGAACAAACAAAGAATGTGGGGACAACTGAGTCAGTAATACTAAGGTTGAACTCCAGGTAGTGTGTAAAAAAATGGAAAGTCAATTGATAAGCTAATGAATGTTTATCTCTTGAGATTTCCGGGTAACCGTAAGACGCCTGTCCAAGTTGTTGTAGAGCATATGGATTTCCATTTCCAGTACATATTCAATATCAAACATTTTGGGACATTTTTTCTCATTCAATTAGTGGGTGACTGTTAACTATAGAACCATAATTTTCATTTAGTATTTCATTTTGAGTTCTAACTTTCACTTTGTTTTTATTTTTCATCCGGAAAACCGGGATGGGTAACAATGGCTTGTTTATAGAAAAAAATTTATATGCTTGAAATTACGCTTTTATATTCAGCGCTCACCAATTAAGTGAACAACAAAATACTTGATATTGAAGGCATGGTTAGTGTAGTGGCTCGGGATCTGACTCCAATTTGAACGAATGATTAAATATTTTATGAAATGAATTTTCCATTCAATTTTGTATATCATTCTTAGACGAACCGTGTGTGTTCAACGTGGGTAATTCAAAGCCTAATACGGATTAATTTAGGTGAATTTATTTCGTACATTCGCGTAGGCAGACAGATAATAAATAGGATAGTAAGAGCGAAACGAAGTGCAACGGAAAAGGTGAGAAGACCGACTCTGGGTAATGAAGCATGACTAAGTATTTTTAGTCAGAAAAAAATCAGCCAAACATCTGATAAAGTAGTGAACAATGCACATACTGAGATAAAAACTATCTATGTTATGAGCGAATAATTGACAAAGTTAAAAAAAAGTGTGAATAGTAATTTGGGAAGAAAAGGTTAATTAGTTTCATCTAAAAGCTGAGACTATCCATGTGTGCTGAACATACTAGTACATACACTACGTTATCCTCCCTTTTGGACTATGTATTATAATATCCGACCATCTCCTACCTCGACTTGTGCTAATGACCGATGTAAGACTAGACTGAAAGAAAGCTAGGTTCGGTTAAACTAAAAAATCGCAGTAGTCCATATAGTCACTGACCGTTGTTGTGATGACCATTGTTGGTTGATGAAGACTACCAGGTTGGTATTCTCACGGTCATTGCCATTAGAGATTCAAGATATTAGATGATATGACTTAATATCATTCATAATCATGCAGATGCATTCACTTTTTGCTTTACCTTTCGGATCTGGAATTCGGAGATAATCTTATTCTCATGTCATTAAGTAGAACCCTAAGCGGTTTCCTTGCAGCGTCTTTCCTACATTCATTAACACG